CTTTGGATCTTCGTCCAAAGTGAGAGCAAAGTCAAAGAGAGAAGTATTTGTTTAAATCAAATTCTAATTTTACAAAATTAGATTTCATGATCTTATTTTTACCAAAAACACATAACCATCTTTTCCTCCGAATTCCTGCGGTTGCTCCCCAAACTGCAGTATGCCGCAGCTTATCTCGTATTACATAGGCTGTGCTATCAGTGTGGCCTCAGTTATGCAGTGCCCTAAGTAGGTTACGGAGCCATTTTCATTTTTGTTGGCCCTCCTCTTTATACAAGTACGAGGCGTTTTTCAGTGCTATGCAATAGTCTCGAGTGTATGAAGCGATATTAACTCGGAAACTGCTTGGTCTTCAATACTTGGAAATTTACTTAATGAATATAATTTATGATATTGTTACCATGGTACCAATATCATGTAACAGTTTCCATTGTTTAAGCTAGAGATAAGGAATTTTATTCATATGGATCGAAGAATTTTTGTTTGATTAGTATATGAAATGCAAACCAAAAATATTTATATGATTTTTATGTTATAGTTTTGTCAGGACAAGCACCTGATAATCTTGGGAAATTCGCAAGTTCATAACAATATTCAACATATCTTCCCTTGTGCAATTTACGGCATATAAAGATCACCGTTAAATTCATGCTTGAAATTGAAATTGAAAAGACTCGAAACAAGTAGACTAGTTGTCGACTACAAAACGAGTGAGTAATGGCTAAACTGATCGAGTTAAAAATTAGCAAGAGACTTCTGTAAGAGTTTGATGTTACAGAAGTCCTCCTTTCATTAAGCCAATGCAAGAAAACACCAAAGGAAGCACTGGCATCCGTGGCCTCTCATCGACGTTATCCTGTAGACAGTTTTCTTCCATCAAGGTTGATTGGATGTTTTCACCTTTTCCGCATTACGTTTTTCCTGTTGATGGAGGATGATGAAATGACAACCAATTCTCTGACATGAAGTGTACATTTAATTAGGCGTAATGAGTCTTTCTCACAATCTAATCTATAAGTTCTCAGAGGCAGCACTGCAGAGCAAGATCTTCCAGCACCGCCAGTGCCTCCTCCCTAGTCCAGCTGCCCTCTCGTTCATCCCTGAATCGCCCCGAACTCCTGTGTTCCTGGAGTGTCCTTGCGGATAGCCCTGAGGTGGATAGTCCTGAAGTGTGGATGTGTGCCTTTTCTTTGTTTTTGTTTGTTTTCTTTGTGTATTCAGGAAATAATGTCTCGATGGTAACTACAGCCTGATTATGCTTCTTTTATGCAAATGAAATTGTGAAGCGTCATTTACTTTCAAAATATAAGCGTGTGTAATGCCTACATTTTTTATTATTACCCGTTGTTTTTAGGCCTTCATGATTAATCTTGCTTCTTTTACTGCTTGCTTCTCATACTTATAGATAAGCAATGTATGTGTTCAATTCATAACAATAACAATGTCAGTCTTTATATCCTTTTTATATAAATGGGCTTCAGGTGGGTTTGCATAAATTCTCAGGGAAAGTACAATCCCACTATCAGAATAAACACCCACATATAACTATGATAATGAATAATTGTTTAAAACCATGAATACCGCTAAGAAGCAGGCGACACAGGCACTTCAGATCTCACAAGGCGTATCCTGTGCGCGGGAGAATTCCAGGCGAGTCTGTTATTTATTTTGATGCAAATTCTGTTTTTCGTTTCGTGTGAAAGCTCTTCAGTTAAGGATGAAATACTCTAACCGGTGCGTGTTTTTTATATTTGTTTCAGATCTCCGATGTACTATGTACGCCTTTGTGCTATTTGATATCGTATTTTATATATAAGGAAATTCTATACTTCGTAACTAAACATGAAACTCTGACGATGTTCCTGTAGTTTTTTGTATATATTTCTATTCATAAACAAATTTACTAACCACAGTAGTCTCCAAGTTTTCATTGTAGTTCTTCTGGTCTTGTGGTCGTATGATCCAGGATGTTAAAATTTTCCTTGGCTTCTGTGTAGGAAAAGGATGCCTCTTTGAAGCTACCTTTCTCTAAAGCTAGGATCGAGATGGACAGCTTTTCCAAATTCATCTCCCGTTTCACCTTCCCTTGTGAATTCAGCCATCACGCATGCGCATGTGTTCCTCCTCCCGTGACAGTCTGCTGTCCCTAACCAAGTGTAGCGTTTCTATACTATAGTAAAGATGAATATCTTCCACTCTACTCCAAGTTGACCTCGTTGGCTGGCGAACGACTTCTGTTTACTGCTGCTTAATATTACTATTTCGTTGCCTCTTTATTAAGCGTTCCGTTAGATAAGACGTTTATTGTGATTATTACACAAACTTCACAAGATTACTCATCTAACAACTACCTATAATTGCAACTGTATACAAAAATAAGCTTTGGGCATCTTAAACACGAATAAAAGATGCCTTTGAACTCTTTTGTTGACACTTCAAGTGGAGCTTCATTTGGATACTCTTCTCTGACTTTTACATGATGAGGCAGTAGCTTCCTCATAAAGTAATTTTCTTTTGTACTTTATTCCGAATGTGTTAATTTTCTTTTGTAAATCACATTTCACTAAGTTCTGTTGAAACTTTTTTAGTCTTCAGTTCCCATTTTGCAGTTTGAATAAGTTGCACTTCCAAATGCGAAATGTCAGCGCCACCTGACAGCCCTTCCGCCAATTACAGGGTTTCTTGCGGCAAACGCTGAGGAGGTCGAGGGTGAGACACAGCTGTTCTCAGAAGGATTAGTTCAACGTCGAGATTTTTAGCGAGGACAACAATCGAAACGTTGAGCAAGACCTGTTTCTCTGCGATCTTGTGCATTCTCATCCATGACTCCTTAGGCTTTCGCAAATTCGGCACACTACATGCAACACGGATCATGCGTCTCCGAGTCTCGACCTGGATAAAGAGGGATTTTTATCTATGACTACATAGGGATCAGAGACTTGGACACAATTTCACACACGTCTCAGTAATAATGCTCTATATTGCACTCATATGTAATTTCGTATGCATTTGAAACATAAACACACACATTAACACTTGACACTGTGATGACTTTAATATAAGGCTTAATTTAGCTGCATAATTCTTCATCAAAAAAATCGATTCTCTCGACTCAAGTCCCCATGGAGAGTTGACGATAGAGGCGCTCGGTGGAACCATTCAGACATTTTCTTTGGCGTGTGCGCGGTCGTGTCTATTCTAATCGTCTTTCATATTTCCCCTAATGTCTCCCCCTTTCCATCACAAATATTCCTTTATTGAATTCTTAAGGAACATCCTTAAACTATTCACATGGATACGGAAGAGCTGTCTTCCAGTTTTAATATCAGGAGCGAATAGCTGTTCATATGGTGCACTGATATCCTTACAAGATCAATTTTCCACTTGTCTTAGGAAAGAGAGATCCTTTTCCCAGAAGACTCACCAAATTTAAGACTCAATCTACTACTGTGGTTTTCCCTTATCCTACATTTACAAGAAAGCTTTATACCTGTACATACATTTTTTCACCTGGAAATTTGGTAACATTTAGGAAATGTTAACACGTGTAGATATAATTTCTGAAATATGCCGTGTGTCTGTATATATATGTAACCAGTATGCGTCTAAGGTTGTATATTGTTATGATGAGTTGAGCAATAAATGGCAAGCAGAACTGACTTATTCCGTGTTTCATTTTGCCCTTTCTGCTTTCTGAAGCACACATACACGCATGTGCGTGTGTGTGTGTCTGTGTGTGTATGTGTGTGTGTGTGTGTGTGTGTGTGTGTGTGTCTGTGTGTGTATGTGTGTGTGTGTGTGTGTGTGTGTGTGTGTGCATGTGCGTATGCATGTGCGTGTGCGTGTGCGTGTGTGTGTGCCGAAGGCCTTTTCATATATGCCCTGATGAAGCAATAAAAGCAAATAGGCCTTCGGCATATTCTACTTGCAACAAACACACACACACATATGTATATATACATGTATATATTTATGTATATATACATATATATGTATGTGTTTATATGCATATGTACATATATGCATCCATATATATATACGTACATATATATATATATATATATATATATATATATATATATATATATATATATATATATATATATACATCTACATATGTGTGTGTGTGTATATATATATATATATATATATATATATATATATATATATATATATATATATATATATACACACACACACACACACACACACACACACACACACACACACACACACACACACACACACATATATATATATATATATATATATATATATATATGTATATATATATGTATGTATATATACATATGTATGTATATATACATATATATACATATCTATATATACGCATATACACATATGTATATATACATATATATGCATACATATGCGTATATGTATATATATATGTATGTGTGTATATATACACACATACACGCACATGAATACATACATACATACATATATATATACATATGTATTTATACATATATATGTATATGTACGTATGTATATACATGAATATGTATATAGACATGTCTACATATATATATATATATATACACTATACATATATATATATATATATATATATATATATATATATATATATATATATATATATGTATATATATGTATACACACATATACATACATACATACCTATAAAACCTGTGGGATATTTGGTCTTGGAGAACAAAATGATAGAGGTGAGAAACTAATAGATTTCCTGTAGTGCCAATAACATGTTGATCGCCAACTCAATGTTTGAACACCACCCTCGACATCTATACACCTGGACATCGGCTGATTCAAGAATCCGCAACCAAATTGACTTCTTCATAATAAATCAAAAATGGAAAAGCTGTGTGAAAAATGTGAAAACTAGACCAGGAGCAGATTGCAATAGAGACCATCAACTCCTAGCCATGAATATTCAAATTAGATTGAAGAAACTACCTTAACCACCTCGACCTATCCGTTTTGACTATCAAACAATGGATATCAATTACAACGTTAAAGTATCGAACAATTTTGAGACTCTTCTACAGTGCGAAGAAGAGAAAACACCAAATGACCTATGGAATGAAGGACGAAACATTTTGCTGAAAACTGTAGAATACATCAGTAAGAAAAAGAACAAAAGAAACAATTGGATATCTGAAGAAACCATAAAGGAAGTTGAGGTACGTAAGAAACTCAGAGCAAAAGGCATTAAGTATGCAGTAGATGAATAAATCTACAGACAACAGAATACCAAAATTCAACGAATGGTGAGAAAAGACAAGGAAAAGTTAATTTAGGATCAATGTCAAAAGAAAATGCTATCAATAACTCCACTGAAGAAGTATATAGAGGAATTAAAAATCTTACCAAGAAATTCCAGCCAACAATAGATACCATCAAAAACGAAGATAATGTTATTCTTTGCGACAAAGACCAGGTCCAAAACAGATGGAAAGAATATTGCACAAACTTATACAAAAGAAATGAAAATCACATTACACCAAACACAAACTGGCAGAACTCAACAGAACCACCACCTCTTCTTGAAGAAATCAAAGATGCAATAAAAGATCTGAAGATAAGAAAGAGCCTTGGAAATGACCAGGTCACAGCTGAGATTATAAGTATGGTGGAGAGAATGTAGAGGTGTTCTACCACAGCCTTTGCACAAAAATATGGCATGAGAAAAATGGCCAGACGATTGGGGACAATCAGTTTTTGTTCCGATCCCAAAGTAAGGTGACACTTTACAATGCAGCAATAATAGAACAAATTCTCTCATCAGTCACAGCAGCAAAATTCTTCTGAAAATCATCGCCAAACGAATGGCCTCAAAACTAAACGAAGAAATAGCTAAAGAACAAGCAGGATTTAGACCTGGAAAAGGCACCAGAGACCAAATCATGAACCTGAAAATGATTCTCGAAAAGAACAGAGAAAGAGGACTTGACGGGTTTCTGTGCTTTATTAACTACTCTAAAGCTTTTGACACTGTTGCGCATGACAACTTATGGAATAACATGTACACTATGGGCTTTCCAACTCACATCATTCTACTTCTGAAATCATTGTATGAACAACAAAAAGCAGCAGTAAGAACTACTTATGGACTGACCGACTGGTTTGATATAGAACAAGGCGTTAGACAAGGGTGCATTATTTCCCCACATCTCTTCAACATCTACTCGGAAATGATCATGAGAAATGCACTTGAAGATTATGAAGGCAGCATTAAAATTGAAGGACATAGTATCACCAATCTCAGATACGCTGATGACGTTGTCTTAATAGCTGGAAGTATAGATGAACTCCAAAACCTTGTAGACAGAGTAAAAACAGAGAGTGAAAAGACTGGTCTGTTACTGAATGCCAAGAAAACAAAAGTAATGAAGATCCAAAAAACACCAACAGATCAAGAAATTATAATTGACGGAGCCCCTGTAGAAAATGTCACAGAATTTACATATCTTGGAGCCACTTTTACCAATAAAGTCGATGATTCAAAAGAGATCAGGAAAAGAATTACTTTAGCAAAAAATGCCACAATAGCCCTCAGCAACATTTGGAAAGATAGAAATATATCAATAATTACTAAGAAACGGCTTCTCCATTCACTTGTCTTCTCTATAGCATCGTATGGATCAGAATGCTGGGTTCTAAAAGCTACAGATAGGAAGAAGATTGAAAGCTTCGAGATATGGTGTTACAGGAGAGTGCTCAGAATTAGCTGGATTGAGAAAAAGACTAATGAGGAAGTCCTTCAGCGAATCAACATTAAAAGAAGACTGCTTAACATTCTTGATGAAAGAAAACTGACATTCATTGGCCATCAGATGAGGAAGAACAACTCATTTGAAAAAACGTTGCTGCTCGGAGTAGTTTATGGCAGAAGAACGAGAGGACGGACTAAAATAAGACTTTATGACAACAATAGGGAATTGACTGGGCTGACTATGGTAGAGTTGGAGAGAAAGGCGCAGGATCGGGCAAGATGGCGTAAATGTGTGCAGAGGGCCACGGCAGCTCGAATACAACGAACTATCCGTAACTGATGATGATGATACCTACAATCCTCCCTGACGGCCTCGAACCTAGGTCACTCCGGGCATAAAACCGGAGGGCCAGTACTAAACCAACCATGCCACACGACCCACTAAAAGGAGTGTGCAACTAGGATCTAACTAGCTCCATAGACATTACCTATCTACTCATACCTGAGTAAGAATAAGTCCGATATGCGAAGCTAAGCCTCGCCCGGCCTGTGTAGAGTGCCCAGCCACAACAGTAACCTCTAGGTGACAATTGCAGTTTCTCGCGCCTGAGCGGGGCGCGAACCGCCGACCCCTCGACACGTTACCATTGTACTAGCACGGAGGCTCATATCTGAGTAATGATAGCGAAGTTTTACACACACTCCCCGTGGTCACTCGGTAGAAATTGATTTAGAAACCGTCAGATGTACTGAGGTATATATATATATGAAAGATGGAA